ATCCTATAGGGATTTCTTATAAATGCAAATTATCGGGACCACTCTAGCCCTACTGAATCTAAATCTGTGGGGGTGAGACCTAGAAATGTGTTTTAACAAGTTAATGTCAACAACCATCAGCGTGATTCTGCTGCATGCTAAAGGTTGAGAGCCACTGACCTAGATAGACATACATGTTAGGGGGAGATAAAGGTCTCCAAACCATGCCTTTTGAGTCTAGTTGAAGATGTCAACCTCAAGGAAAGAAGACCTGACCAGTCCAAATAAGGATCGGATGGAAGAAGGAGCTGGCTTGTTTCTCCAGTCAGTCCAATGACACTTAGGTCAAGCGTGGAGAGCTTCGGGGAAAAGACTAGCAGAGGGGACTAGAGAAGGTGCTCTTGGCTGCAAGTAAATGACAACTGATCCAATGGGCCTAAATCATAAGGGATCTATTGATAAGCGGAGTCCAGAGGTAGAGAGGTTCCATATCTGGCTAATACAACAGATCAGCTACATCCTCAAGGACCCAGGCTTTTCCTAACCCTCCTTTCTGCATCTCAGTTGGATCAGCTTCTCTCCTTACGGCTGCCCAGTGGTGGAAGAACTTCCCAGGTCTCCTGCTCATACAGTAAGAGGCAGAGGAAGAAAGTATGTCTTCCTTGTCTCTCCTTTTAATCCCCTCTCCCTCCAGCAGATGTCCCCTGGCATCTCATTATGAATTTGACACCCCAGGTCACATGACACTTCCTAAGCTGGTCCCAGGCTGGGGTCATGGAATTACTGGTATTGGCTTAGACCAGTGCTCATCCACCATATCTGTCCCATAAGCGCCTTCCACAGACTGGCCAAACCTACGGACCCTTCTCAGTATAGTGTCTTTAAGGACATAAAACAAAATGATGGGATTACAAAACGAACCAATTGTATTGAAATATGGTTTTCCAAATATATTTCTTAAAGTGTGATATAGGAATAAACTGCTTCTTTATTAGCACATTAAACAACAAAATCCAGTGGCAGATCTAATAACAACCGTAAATTGAAGTAGTGATGAGTGTAAACAGCGTTCTGAGATCCCTGGAATCACTGTTTTGTGATGGGAAGGTATCTGTGCTTTCTGTTGGTGACAAATCACAAGTTACTGCGAATGCTGCTGTGGCTTGTTGCTTACATTCATGATACAAGGAAATGCTAAATTTCAGTTGGAGGCTGGTGAAAACAAAGTAGCTTTCCCTCCCTCCCCCCTTCATGCAGGTTTCCGAATCCCATGCATTTCATCGGCCACCCTGGGTTGGGGTTTTTCTGTGGACTTCGCGTTAAGAGCCCCTAGCTTAGATTCATCAAGATTCACACTCCGGGCTGGGAGTGGGCAAGTCTTTTCTGAGACAAGTGGCCTTTCCAAAGGAGTGTGAATACCTAAGCTAAATCATAGCCCGAAACAGAAGTGAGTGTGGGAGGAGGGTGGGAGAGTAAGGTGGAGGAGGGGTGGGGTGGGCCTGGCTCTGGGGCCTGCTTTCAGAGGGAGAACACTTCTCATCACCTGAGGAAGAGACCTTGTCCATGGGATGCAGACACCAGATGGGGCCCCTACCAGGATTGCCACCAACCTCGGCCTTCTTCCATTTCCCCCATTTTATTTTCTTTTGTTTTCTGGTTGGTTTTCTTTAAATATTTATATGCATATCAAGTGATAGATATAATACTTGCCCTTGACAAATTGTCAGCCTCCTGGGGTACTCCTGCTAGCCCACTTCTTAGAAGTAACCACAGCTCAGCTTGGTGGGTGTCTTTTCAGACAACCTGCCATGTACACGTGCTATCCCAGCAGCTCACACACTTTCTTTGCAGAGAAACTAGTTGGCAGTGCAGGTTCCTGGGCCCTGCCCTCCCCCAAGCTGGTGAATGTGAACTGAGCTCACTGTGCCCCTTAAATTCTGCAAGGAAACCTGAAGGTTCAGGGAGGGGAGGTGGGCCTAACGTCGTATTCCTCAAAAGTAGCACAGCTGAAATGTCAATGCATGACTATCACACCCCAAAATCCATGCTCTGAATGCCATCCATACCTGTTGGCTTCCAGAGCTATACACGAAGGTGACTAAAATAAGCATCGGTCCAGAAATGTTTTTCGTTTTTTTAAAGGGGTGGAGTGGGCATACTCCTCAACCTGGCTTGGAAGGTGCCCACTTGAGATGGGCATTCACACTGAAGTATTTGGGTATCTCATCAATAAGTGCTGAGTATCCTAAAGCATTCACAGGAGACCCCAACCGGCTACTCACAAGCCAGCCCTGGAAACAGGAGGCATTACATTCAAGGTAAAAGCAAGGCAAAGAATGTCCTCTAGGAGTTCCATAATTGAACATCGTCTTGGAGATACTGGGGACCATGTTTGTCGAGTAAAGGCTGACCCTGCCCTCAGTAAAGGCTGGCTGCTGGCCTGAGAGGACCACATGTCAGAGAGCATCTAGCCCTGGGTTCTGCAACAGGTGCAGAGCCCCGCCTGCATCCTAGCCTGGTGCATTCATTTCCTCCTCCACCCATTCACCATTCACCCATCCTCCACCCCACCCTTCTCTTAACCTCAGTGTCCTCATCTGAAAACTGAGGATATAAGCCTCCCTTCAGGGCCGTGGCGATCAGCACAGGGCCTGGGCACACAGAGCTCCTCCAGCATCACTCACCATTTCCACAGCCCCCAGTCCCCGCCCTTGAGGGGGGAGGCTCCTTCAGCCTGGCTGCCAGGGCGGCTTGGAGACAGGCAGTGCCCAGGCTCATTGTGGGCGGTGCCTGTGGTCTCTGCACAGAGGAGGGACCAGCTGGCCACACTGGCGACCAGGGCTTGACCTGAGAGCCCCAGACGAGCACATCTTCAGGCAGATTCTCAGCCCCACCGCGGTGGGTGGGACCTCCCACTGGAATGAACCCTGGGGAGTCCAAAGCGCAGGGCATGATGGGAGAGTTTAGGGCAGCGGTTCTCAACCTGTGGGTCGCGACCCCTTTGGGGGGTCAAACGACTCTTTCACAGGGGTCGCCTCAGACCATCGGAAAACACATATATAATTACACATTGTTTTTGTGATTAATCACTTTGCTTTAATTACGTTCAATTTGTAACAATGAAATTGGGGGTCACCACCACATGAGGAACTGTATTAAAGGGTCGCGGCATTAGGAAGGTTGAGAACCACTGGTTTAGGGGAAGGGTTCAGGCTGGCAGAGCAGAGTTCAATGTGTGAACTTGGTGAGCTATTTAGCTCCTCTGAGCCTGTTCCCTCCGCTGTAACGGGATGGCGATACCTCACGGGCGGAAAACGAGATCCCTGAAGTGCAGTCAATGCCCAGCCCGCCGACCTGGCCAACCACCCGAGATTCTCGGGCTCATGTGCCTCAGGAGCCACGGACTAGAATGCTCACGCAGTGTGGCCGGTGGCAGCACTCAGAGGGAAACCGATTCTTGTCGGCAGCAGGATGGGTAAGTAAGTTGATAAGTTGTAGGATATTCCTGCAGTGGAATGTTATACAGCAATAAAAATGGGCAGATCACAGACACGTGACAACATGGATGAACCTCACAAATATAGCGGTGCATCAAGAATAGAGATGGTGCCGAAACCGGTTTGGCTCAGTGGATAGAGCGTCGGCCTGCGGACTGAGGGGTCCCAGGTTCGATTCTGGTCAGGGGCATGTACCTTGGTTGCGGGCACATTCCCAGTGGGTGGTGTGCAGGAGGCAGCTGATCGATGTTTCTCTCTCATCGATGTTTCTAACTATCTCTCTCTCCCTTCCTCTCTGTAAAAAATCAATAAAGTATATATAAAAAAAAGAATAGAGATGGTAAGATTCCATGTATATAAAGTTCAAAAAGATAGGCAATACTCAGCTATAGTGCTTAAGATGACATGCATATAGGCAGTGAAACTGTAAAAATGATTAAGAATATGATGACCTTAAAAGTCAGGGTGCTGGTTACCTGAGAGAGGAGGGGCTGTGGATCAGAAAGGCATGCGGGCCCGACCCGGAGGTTCTGTTCTGGGTGCTGCTTGGGTGGCACTTGGGTGGCAGTGGCTCGCCCTTACTTGCTTTATGACTTATTTATTCACAAAACAGCGTACACATGTTTTCTGCGCTCTTCTTTACCTGTGATTACTTCAAAATCTAAGAATAATTCAAGTGCCTGGTGCTGGACAAAGGCTGGTTTTCCTTCTCTCTCTCCCTGTGCGCCTCCCAGCTCTTGTTCTGTGCTTGGGAGCAGAAAGCAGAAGTGAGAAAATGCTGAGGGAGGTGTGGGTGTGGGCTGGCCAAGCCCTCCCCTGTCCCCTCCCCCTCCCCTGCTGTACTGCTCCCAGACACAAATGCCCCAAAAAGACACTGCCCAGAGGTTTTCTTAAACCACTTTATTCATGTTGGCTGGTAGTTACGGATTGAATCATGTATATAGGGTTGCCCACCCCACCCCCCACCCCCCGGGGCAAAGCCCTCGGCCTCTCCCACATCCCCCATGCCATTGCTGAGGGGTGGCCAGAGGTTTGAGCCAGTTCTGAGGGGGTGTTGGGCCCAATAGAAATATTTACACATCACCAGGGGCGGGTGTCCCCCTGATCAGGAATTGTGAGGGGATTGGTACTGGAGTCCCAACAGCCCCAGGCCCTTGGGTGGGCTTGGCATGGACCCCGAGAGAGAGGGCTGGGACATTGGGAGCTGGCAGAGGGGGCTCCTGGGAGAGCCTCAAAGACCCTCAAAGGGGTCCTGCTGGTGCAAAACTCTGCATGGGGCCATGGAGTCAGAGGGGGAGGCCCTCTGCAGGAAGGGCAGAGATTCCTGGTCGCCCACCTCCCTAGAGGGTGGGGCAGGGAGCTGTTTCTTAGGACTAAGGAGGCTGAACACGAATGACCCACCAGGAGGCAGTGGGCGTCTCCCTTTCCTCCCAGGGTCCCTATGAGTGACCCCAACAGGCCACAGCCCCAGAGCAAGGCTCTCCCGGGGGCTCTTGCCCCGTCTCTTCCCCAGGGGAGAGGCCCTAGCTCTACTCAGAGATTCAAGTCCAAATCTGGGGAGGGGTTGCTGTCCACATCCCCAGGCTCAAGTTGGGGAGAGTGGAAAGGAGGGAGAGTAAGGCTGGGAGGCCCTGGCTAGGGACAGGATTGGGGGACAAGCAAGCAAAGCGAAACACTGGACTCCACTGAAGCTGGTGGCCAAAGGGGGCAGCCTGCCCCAGCATGGTGTCCCGCCCCCATGTTTGGAGTAGTTGTCCCCTTGGTGCCCAAGGCTACCTCCTCCGAGCCAGGTCAGGTCACCGAACGGATCTGAAAAGGAAGGGCTGAGTGGGGCTTACATGCTGAGCAAAGGGGTGGTGGTCGGAGGGCCCACGTGGTGGCCACAGGTCTCGGGGATGGGGAGGCGGCTGGACCCGGCAGTCCCGTCCCCACAGTCCAGCAGCTCCTCATGCACTCTGTACAGCCTAGGGGCGCGGGGGGCACGCGGCGGGGTAGCGTCAGAGGCTGCAGGCCTCCTCGTCCACAGACCGCTTCCGCAGCTCCTTGCCCGGCTTGGGGGGCGGCGGGGCGGGCGCGGCAGGCGGGGCTTCGGGCAGATGCAGGACCGAGTTCTCCCCGGGCTGCACCCGCAGGTAGGCCTTGACCTTGTGGTGCCGGGCCTTGCCGTCGCTGAAATCGATGACCCGGCACTCGTAGGTGCCTTCGTCTGTGGGCTTCACCCGGGACAGGCGCAGCTTGTGGGAGATGTTACTGCCCACCACTTTGACCACCTGGGGGCGACAGAGAGACCGTGACCTGGCCTTGGGGCAGCGGGAAGACGAGCGTGTCAGCCCACTGCTAGGGCGGGGCCCCAGAGACACCCCCACCAGGGCACGGGGAGTTCAATAGCAAAAAGGTAGAAGCAACTTAAATGTCTATCCACAGAGCAGACATATAAGCGGAAGTCAGTTCATTCTATGGAACGCGGCACAACAGTTAAAAGGAATACCCTAGAGCCAGGCATGTCACAGCTCGGTGACACGCAGGAAGTGAGATCTCATTGCAAAACTCCTACCATTTCTGTACATAAACACATAAAAACACTCTATTCTGGTTTTGGAGACTTGTGTGTGTACAAGTTTAAAATACACAGCAGGGAACACTGGCCTCATATCAGAGGCTGCCTTGAGGATACAGCCCAGGAGAGGGCTGTGGACTGGGGTGGAATGCAAAGTGAGTTCTTAGCTTAGTCCAAAATGTCTTATTTCGTAAACAAACAAACACAGCCTGGCAAACGTGGCCCAGGGGTTGAGCCTCGACCGATGAACCAGGAGGTCCTGGTTCAATTCTCGGTCAGGACACAGGCCCAGGTTGCAGGCTCGATCCGCTCGATTTTCGCTTACCATTGATGTTTCTATCTCCCTCTCCCTTTCCTTTCCTCTCTGAGATCAATAAAAATATATTTTTAAAAATACAGGCTGATCACAAATGTATCAGCATTTCAATAATTGTTCATCTCTGTTGGGGTGAACAGAACAAGCGTCTGTGATATTTGTCTTTCTACTTTGGCTTTTTGTTTATGTCTTCGATTGGGATTTTAAATTTTATTTAAAAATTGAAATTTAACTTATACACAGCAAAGTGCACACTTGATAAAATTTTATAAGTGCGCACAAGTGTTTCCTTGTGCAACCACCAACCAGAGCAAGGCAAGACTATTTATAACCCTAGAGCGCACCCTTGTGGCCCTTCCTCACCAACGTTCCCCCCATGGGGTTAACTACTACTCTGACTCCTATCACTATAGTTCAGTGCAGCCTGTTCTTGAACTCTTTCATGTGTAGCTTCTTTCACACAACATAGTATCAGCGAGATTCTCCATCGACATATTGCATGTCTGTGTTTGTTCTTTTTCATTGCTGTGTAGCATTCCATCATGCGATCACTGGGAAAGCTAGGTGAAGGATACAAGAGACTGTTTTTGCAACTTCCTGTGAGTCTATAATTCAAAATTTAGAAAGTTAGAAAAAGGGAGGGGGGAGTTGGGCCTGTGGAGAGGAGGGTAATGGTGAGCGGGGCTTTCATCCTTCCCTGCCCCTTAGTACTTAGACCCTTCCTACTTCCCTGCCCCACCTCCTGCAGCCCCCACCCCACCTAGACAGAACGTTGGAGATCAGTTCCCAACTGCCAGCTAGTGACCCCCGTCCCAGTGATCTCACCACCTCTCACGTACAGGCTCTCCAGGCTCAGGTGGGAGCTGCGTAGGCTCCAGACCTGGGGCCCTGGCACTGCGCTCTACTGGCCCCTCAGCTGGTCTGTTCTTGCCAGGCCCCAACTCCTGGAGGCGGAAGCCCCTGCTGATCACTCACACAGTGAGGAGGCCAGGATGAGAAGGAGGGCAGTCTCTGACGGGGTTCGTTCACTCTGCAGACTTGTTTCAGAGACTCTGCTGGGCACTCACACATGTAACTTCCAATCACCTCACTGGTCTGCTCTGGCCTCCCTGGCCTTCTCATCTCCTCCCAAATGCTAAGCTCTTTCTGACCCCAGGGCCTTTGCATAGGCTGGTTTCCCTACCTGGGTGCTCTGCCCCATCTCTCTTCACCTACTTGACTCCCATTCATTCTCGAACATCACCTCCTCCAAGAAGCCTTCCATCACAACTGTTTCCATCATAGCGGGCATCACAATTTGAGAACCATTTAATTGATTTGTCTGTTGATTTGATTTTTGTTTTTCTCTCTGGCTCAACTATAAATTCCATGAAGACAGGACTATATATTTTGTTCACTTTAGTGACCACCACTGGGTCTGGTACCCTGTAAATAGTAGTAATAATAATAATAACAATAAATTGTTGGATGAATGGACTCACTGTAGTTCCTTCTTTCTCCAAATGAAGTGGTACCCAGGCTTGCTAACTTGAGGTCACATACACACAATTATACCCACTTCACAGATGGTGAGACTAAGGTTCCAGAAGGAGGAGTGACTCTCCCATGGCCACTGAATCAGTGAGTGGCAGCGCTAGGAACTGAACCCAGGCCTGACTCCATGCATTCTATCCCTCAAAATGGTGTGACAGGCCCACACAGGGTCACCAGGAGCTGGCAGGGCCGTGGTGAGGGGGGTGCTTCCCAGGCTCCGGAAGGAAAGAGGGCAGGTGGGCAGCAGCAGGGAGCCTGCCCATCCACCCTGATTCCTAGCACTATGGCTGGCCATCATCCCCAGGAAGCGGGAAAACATGGGCTGTGGCACAGCAGGAGGCATGAGGTGGGCCATGGGCCATAGACAGAACTTCCCAACAGCAAACCGTGGGAAACCTGACAGCAGCCCTCTTGGTGTGGGGGCAGGCGCCCCTTCCCAGTGCCAGGCTGGGCCCAGCTGGAGGCTGTCAGCCCTGCTGATTCCATCACCTCTGGCCAAGGGCAGGGAGAGGTCCTCTGGCCCTGCCATGCTCTCGGGGAGTGAGGGGATGCTGTTGCAAATGCGCAGCGGGAAATGAATTACCTCAACATCTGTTTCCCTCACGGATATTAATTATCCTTCATTTGTCAACCCTACAAGGCGCTAATGGAGTAATAATGCGAAGCGCTGGGAGCAGCCAGCTCCTAGGGAGGGAGCATGGAGCGTGGCCCACCCCACAGCCCACCCTCACTCACCTCAGGGCGCTAAGGCTTGGACAGGCTCCCTCCTCCCCCAGCTCCCTCCCACCCTGTCACCCCTCTGCCAGCAAACACATGTGGCTTTCAGAAGCTCTTCCCCAGTCCCCTCCCCACCCCAGAGGAGGAGGGGGACTGAGCACACTGTAGGGGTGCGGGAGGCTGGGCTCTGATCCAGACAGTCAAGGCGCCCTGGCCCTGGTTTTCTTGGGCTAGATCATCCATTCATTTGACACACATTTATCAAGCGCCCCCTCTGAGCAATGCCCGCATGGGCTCATGGTCACATGGAGGATCCAGACCTCACACCTGTAATCCAGCACCACAGTGAGCTGGTTCTAATAGGACACTGCCCCCTCCCAGCCCCAGTGATCTGTGCCAAGCGCCGTCTGGAGAAGGCAAATACTGAGAACAATAACAGTGATCCCGGTGCTGGGAGCTAGTGTTTATGGCGTGTGTGGTCACTGTGAGATGATGTGCTAAAGCTTCACACATCTTATCTAAATCTCGAGATAACTCCGTGATGCGGGCACTTCTGAAATACCCAGAATACCCATTGTATGAGTCAGGAAACTGAGGCTCAGAGAGGTGACGTGCTTGGCTCAAGGTGATGAGAGAAACCAGGCCTTAAACACAGCACTGGGGAGCCTCCCAGGACCAGGGAACCTCAGCCTGTCTCTCCACCCCCTACCTCCCCAGGCCCCCAACCCTCCGTGCTTTAGGGGGGCCCAGCCCTTCTCAGAGACAGCCTGTGGGAGGGGCCCCATCATCCTGCCCTGCTTCCTGGGGGTGGCAGAAGCAGCCTGTTGGATCTCATCATTCACAAATTGGGCAGAAGATCCTGCGGCCCAGACGTCCAATGAGACGGAAGAGGCCAGAAGAAGAGGCCCCACACGGCCGCCCGGCTGTAAATCATAATCACTGCAGCACAGGCATCGACAGGCCCTAGTGGTGCAATTAAGCACCTAATTACGCTGAAAGAAACAAGGCAAGTCCACACCGTGACCAGGCTCAGCCTCTTCCCTGCTCGCCTGTGGCCCAGGCCTTTGCAGGCACGGCAGGGCCCCCGGGCCATCCGGCAGACAGGCTGGTATTTTCTCCTGAGCACCCTCAATGTGGGTGCCTGGTGCCAGGCCTTTCCTACGTGTGGCCTCACGGCTGAGGCCTAAGAGTGATGCGGTGGGCCCCGGGAGGTGCTGGGGTGGGGAACAGGGGTCAGATGGTCCCTGTCCCAGGCCAGCTCCTGCTCGGAGCTCTGCTACTCCCGTGCCTCCATCAGCAGCACCCAGCCACGCCAGCAGCCTGCCGGCGTGTTCAAGAACCCAACTCAGGGTCTCCCCAATTCTGGGCCCCAGAAAGCCTCACCCACTGTAGCTTGACCCTCCCAAGTCATCATTCCCAACGCTGCTTCTACACTCAGGCACAGTCCATCTCCGAAGCCCATTGATCTTTCCCCTGAACATCACTGGGTCCCTCTCCTTCCCTCCAGAATCCAGACCCTCGCACACTGGCCAGAGCAAGGCCCCAGCTTGTCTCACCTGGGTCATCACCCCAGCCTCCTCCCGGTCCCTGTGGAGCCACTCTGGCCTCTTCCAACCTGTCCTCCCTTGACAGCCAGACAGATCTTTTCAAAATGCCCCCAACTTAGAAGCCTTCCTTCTATGGCTCCCTGAAGTGACTGTCAGGAGGGGGAGCACTTTGGGGTCTCATCCCTGCCTCTCCGCAGCCACACCAGCCTCCAGTCATTCCTCCAACACACACAGCCAGAGACGTTCCCTTTTCTGCTAGTCAACCCCTCTATACTTCAGTGCTCACCTCAAATAGCACCTCTTCCGGGAAGCCCTCCAGGCCCCCCAGTCTAGGTCAGGTCCTGTTACTGGTTCAGACTCCCAAGCAGCTCTCTTCATGTTGATGATCACAATTGTCATTTGATTTTTCATCATGTGATTATTGGGTTACCATCCATCTCCCACACTGACTGGGAGCACCCTGAGGGCTTGGGTGTGTATGACCATGGCCTTCACAGGCATCTTCATGGCTCTCACCTGGAGCCCAGCTGCTCTATGGATGTTTCAAGGGATTCCCAGGATGGATGTGTTACTGTTGTAATTAGCCTAGTTATTAATGACAGGAAAGGAGCAAAGGGAAGGCCAACTATTATATTGGGGCTAAGGATTGAACCTGAAACCCAGACTATTACAGGCATGTCATTTGGGCAGCTTCTCCAGAAAGCTACAACTCTGCACTCCCCAGGGGAAGGGAAAGGGAAGGTAGATGCATGCCCAGGAAAGTGGGGGTGACATCAGGAATGCACTTGTCTGCCAGTCACACCTGGGGACAGGTCATTGGCCAGAATGGGGCCTGGCCACTGCAAGGGTATGAAACTTGAGATATTTAATCCCCTAAACACATGCTTCCTGGCATTCTCCCGTGTGGCCCATAGCCATGTGGACCTCGCACACAATGGACGAATGGACCGTAACCAGCCTGATGCTGGACTGGACCTGGCTGCAACATGGAACAGAAACTCAGGGCAATGGCTTTGCTTCTAGCTCTACCGAAGCCCCCACTACACTTCTTCTATGACTGGACTGAGGGAAATGGGACTTAGGAAACCCAGGGGTGTAACCACACAAATAAATAACTCATCCTCCCGTGTGAGTCTCAGAAAATTCCTTCTCTGGAGATATCATAAGGAGTCCCCCCCCCCCCCCCAGCACTCAGGGGGGGAAAGGGACACCTCAACTTCCCTGGTAACAGATGGAGTGATTTCTGCCTCCACATGACTCTCGCCTCGCCTTCCTTGCAGACTGCAGGACTTAATGCCTAATGTGTGCTGTGAGTTACGGCAGGAATTTCAAAAAAAGATAGAAATGTCTACGGCAGAAAATGAAATCACAGGGCACCCTGACCCACCGCTTGGCCTGATAATGCAGACTTCGTGGACTGCTCCCGGCCCCCACCCCCACCCCCATCCGTGCGGCACCCACAGGTGCACCACACGTGGGGGGCAGCCAGGCAGGGCAGGAGGGGCTTGACCTGCAGGCCACTTGGTTGACCTGACAAACGCAGCTGCCTCTTAACTAACCAATTACGGAGATTCTCGGTGGGGCTGCAGAGTGCTCCCTGAGACCTCTTGGGCTGTTCCTGGCTTTGGGGGTTTGGCTGGGGGGGTGAGGGGGGGGGGAGGTAGCAGGTTGGGATGAGTGGGCCAGAGCACTAAGCCACGTGTACACGGGACCTGGGCTTCCCGTGGCTCTTTCAGACTGAAGCAGGTGACGTGAACTCTACAGCACCAACAACGTCAGTGAGACGGAAGGAGGAACTACAGGTGAAGAAGACAGTTGGGCCACTGGGAACAAAGGTGTGTGTGGAGAACTTCACCTCATCCTAAAATTAGGAAATTGGGAACCATCTCTACTTGCAAAACTGGTTAAGGGGAACTTAACCTAAAGTGTAAAACAAAGAGCTTCAATTGGATCAAAAGAACAACTTCCAGAACTTGAAAATGGCCGATAAGCAGGAGGATTTGCCTGAATCACAGGAATGAGACTCCACCGCCCAGGGAGATGTTGCTAAGGCCAGAGGCCCTTCCCCAGGCCCCTAGCTAAATGAGATAATTCCTGTAAAGCACTCAGCATGGCTCCTGACATGCTAAGCGCTCAATGAATGATAACTGCATTATTATTATTGTTATTACTATTTTATCCCAGGTGCCTGTCCTCCCACCCACATAAGCCATCCCTTGGTTCCCCTCTGATTTCCTGCAGAAAAGCTGGGCCTCTTTCACTGCTCCACCCCCGCCCCCACCCCGTGCGCTGGGAATAGGAATCTGTCATTTACAGATTCATGTTGTTTCCACTCTAGTAACCACAGTCATCCACATGGCCCTATCCATAGGACTTTACAGTTTCCAAAGGGTTTGCATATAGGTGTCGGACATCAGTGAGGGGGAAAGGGAGGCGCAGGGAGGTGGCAGAGCTGGAGCCAGGACTCAGCTCCCGGGACTTCAGTGCTGGCCCCAGTGTGTCCTCACAATCCCCCCGCCCCCAGCTCAGCACAGACCCTCTGCACCCTCCGAGGGTTACCATGCCCCCGCTCCTCCCACAGGTCCCTGAGCCCATCAAGCCCCTGGAAGCTAGCTGTACTCCCTCCTTCAGAACCCCAATGCTACCCAGCCGTAGGCTGCATTGTTTGGCTCCAGTGATGTTTCCAAAAATCAAATTAGGTCCCAATTGTTAAAAATCAGGAGATATTGCCCTGGTTGGTTAGACTCTGTGGTTAGCGTGTTGGCCTGTGGACCAAAGGGTCTTGGGTTCAATTCCCAGTCAAGGGCACATACCTGGGTTTCAGGTTCAATCCCTAGCCCCAGTTGGGGCACCTACAGGAGGCAACCAATTAATGTTTCTCTCTCTCTCTGCCCCACCCCCACCCCCGGCCTCCCTCCCTTCCACTCTCTGAAAATCAATGGAAAAAATATCCTCAGGTGAGGATTAACAAAAATAAATGAATAAATGAATAAATAAATAAATAAATATCAGGAGATATTCCACTAAAATTGGGATTTTTAGAAGACATGGAACTGTTGGGCCAGAACAGTGCCTGGGTTCTGCTGGACATGAAGGAGTGAAGTCCTTCACATCACCTGTACACATACTGAGGCTACGTATGCATGTGTAATAGTCATTTGATAATTTTTTTAAAGAATAGTTTATTGATTTTTAGAGAGATAGGAAGGGAGAGGGAGAGAGAGAGAGAAATATCAATGTGAGAGAGTAACATCGATTAGCTGCCTCCTGCACGCCCCCTGTCGGGACCAACCCCGAAAACCTTGGCATGTGCCCTGATGAGAAATCGAACCAGCAATCTTTCAGTGCACGGGATGATGCCCAACCAACTGAGCCACACCGGCCAGGCACTGTGCTAGGCTCTGGAACTGTAACAGTGAATCAAGCAGGCACAATTCAGCCCTACTGTCTCCAGGGGAGTCACAGGATGGATAATTACAAAAGGAAATGCAGCCAGCAGGGGAAAGTAAGATGCCCGCTGAGTCACAGGGTCAAGGAAGGTTTCATGACTTTAGCGCTAAAGGAAGAGAGAGGAACAGACAGGGACTGGCCTGTGAGAAGGCAGAAAGGCAGCAGGGTTGGGAGGGGCAGGGAGCCGGGTCAAGCAAGATGAGACAGCCCAGAGGGTGAGCAGGGAGCCCAGAGCCTTGAAGGCGACAGGAAAAGTCTGAGCTTCTCCTAGACTGCAGGAAACCAGAGTGGGCATCTGCTGATGGTGCCGCCAACTAAACGTCCGTGTATTTAAGAGCAGTCACGTGTGTGACGCTGTCTGTGAGACCCCAACCAGACCCGAGAGCCCCAGCTGGTGCAGGAAATCAGGGGCCAGGGTTGGGGGAGAGTGGTTGCACAATCAGTCTGAGCATGTTTATTTTATTATCTAATTAGCATCTTCGCATTCTCCTCACGTGGGGCCAGCAGCCTCTAATTCTAATCCTCTAAAATCAATTAGATTATTCTCTCCTTTGCCTGAGATGCTCCTTAAACCCCAAACAAAATCATAGGAGAGAGAGTTTCGATAAGCGGGGTGTATAAATATACAGAGATGTCCACCTGCCTGGACTTACCAGGTGGTGTTTGAGCAAGAAACGGGACATCACATATGGATGTGCCCCTGGCAGAGAGGGTGAGGGTGAGGGGCCGGGGGTGGAGAGGGGTGGACCAGCATCCACCCTAAACTGGAAATGGCTCAAATTTCTAGACTCCAACTCTGAAAGGCCCTGCAGCAAACAGCACAAATGATGCTTTTACGGCCCTCTCCTCCCCTCTCGTCTGCCCACCTTTTGTCTGAGGAGCTGTGGGAGCCTCCTCCCAGGCCTCCTGCCTCCACTCTGCCACCCCATCCCTCCCAGTGCCTGCTCGACACTGTGACTTCTGCTGTGGCTCCTTGGTGCGTCTGTGTCTAGTCGTCTTTGGGGTCCTGAGCTCCCCAAGTCCTTGAAAAGTTGTGGAAGAAGCAGCAGAAGAACGAACTTGGAGGCTACTCCCCACGTGTACACACCCATACCCCTGAGCACCTGCATTTTCTGAGTGTGTTGGTGTGGGCTCTGGCTTCCTGCCAGGATGACCTCCTGCCCCACGCACAATCCCAGCTGGACTCATGGCCACATGCATCCGCAGGCCGTCCCTTCTGCTCAGTCCCTTTCGCCTCCTTTATCAATTGTGCCTGACTCTCCTAGGCCCCTCTTTGGGTGCCCCTCCACCACAAAAACTGTCACTCTCTCCAGCATAGCCTACAGACAAAGAACTGGAGTCAGCTCAGTCACACCATGCCCTCTAGCAAGTCTCTAGGCCTCAGTTGCCCCACCTGTAAAATGGGTGAGTGCTTGCCCTTCCCTATGGAGGTGGAGCAATGATAAAACGAGTCAATGCATAAAAGGCCTAGCCAGTCCTCAAATCCTTCGGCACAGCTCCCCCACCCGCCTCACCCCAGGAGCCAGAGCACCCAAGTGACCGTGAGAGGCTGCGGCTGTCAGTCGTGATGGGCCAAAAAAAGCCAGCTCAGTCTCATTAGGCCCTGTTGGTTCCCCAAATAAAAAATGCTGCTGAGACAGACATGAAGCATCAGGGACGCACACAGCCTTGGTTCCCGACAGGAGGGAATGCGTCTTCTCTCCCCCTGTCATTTTTTGTGCCTGTCATTCAATGAACTTGAAAAATCTCCAGCTTTTAAAAAACAGATCAGAGCCATTTCCCCTCCCCCTTGTTTTTCTTCTTCTCCATCCTCTTGCCCAAGCTCCCTGCGGTTCTGGACAAAAAATTTTTTTTAAATTACAGCTGTGTCCTCCATTAGAGCCCTTGCGAGAAGTCATTACAGAACTCACACTTATTTTGGTGGCGTCCTTCCCTGCGTCTTCCTGCTGAGATGCTTTTAGCTGTTGGGAGCAGGAGGGGCGGAGAAAGCAGAGAGAAGCCATTAGCACCACTGGGTGGGGGTTCGGACAACAGCTAAGATTCTAGCAGCAGGTGAACTCTGGGGACCCTGGGATCCAGAGCTGGGGGTCCCTCAGCTCTGTGTCCACTCAGGAAGAGGAAGTGAGTCCGGGTAAAACCGACTGTATCTGGGGATAAACGGGGTGGGTATGTGTGAAGGCAGAAACCTGAGTCTGTGTGGTGTGCCTGTACACGTGTGCCTGTATCTGTGAAGGGGTTGTATTTTCAGGTGTGTCACACACATGAGCGAGTGTCTGCAGCAGAAACTGTCGGAGCCCTGCCCGCAAGCTGTTCCCTGCAAGCTGGCCCGGAGGGACCCTGCAAGCTGGCCCAGAGGGACCCTGCAAGCTGGCCAGGAGGGACCCAGCTGCAAAGACCAGCACCGGCCTCAGGGCCGTCTCTGAGCACCGGAGTCCTCTGAGCCTGTGTGGCGGGGAGTCACCACTCCCAGGAGCAGGGCAGAGTTTAACAGGCGTTTGTGACTATGTGAGAAGCTCTCTCCTGAACCTGCGAGAATGTGTGACCACCCCCATGTGTGCACAGGGAGGTGTGTGAATGTATGTGTTCAGATGGGAGTGGGTGGGCTTGCATATGATTTGCATATTCTAGTACACAAGTGTGAGAATAAAAGAGTTTCAGCTTTGGTTCCTCCAGATGCAGCCCCAAGACAAAGACTTGAGTGCAAGTAGCATATTAGGAGGTGACCCCAGGAAACATCAGTAGGGGAGTAAGTGAGGGGGACAAGAAAGGGAGGAGGTCAGTAATGGGTGCATCACCAAGCCAGCACCCACGTGGGCAGCTGGAACTTACTCCCACTGGGCACCTCAGGAGAGAGCACAGACCTCTTCATTTCTCCCAGCTGCGGGGCGAGGGCACGGGGGGACTATCCTTCAACCCCTGTGGCTCGTGGCGGAGGGCTCCTCCAGCCGGCCTCGCAGACCAGCAGGCTCTGTTGTCCACAGAAAACCCTCAGCTAGAGTCACGGGGTTGGCAGTTGGCAGTGGGGCTGGTGGCAGGGGATGGTGTACGCCCGGGTGTGTGGGCAGGGACATCAACAGCATCTGGTCCCGTGGCGGGCACATATGAACGTGTCGGTGCGTGGAGGCCAATGCATGCACGGAGGCCGGCCGCAGGGGTGTGCTGCACGTGTGTGGAAGGGGACATGCACCGTGCTGCGAACTCAGCAACAGTGTCTGCCGTGTTCGCAGGGCCTTTCCAACACCGCTGTCCTTCAGCTCGGAGCAGTGGGGGGAGGTGAGTCAGGAGATCACCTGGAACCAGCTTCTGTCCCTCTGCCTCGGTTTCCCCACCTGTACACGGAAGTGTAGCTGCCCAGGGTGCACTCTGTGCTCTATGGAGGGCTCTCTGGTGGTGCACATCCCAAGTGCTCAGCCCGGCTCTGCCTCCTGCCAGAAACCAAGCCTCCATTTCGGGGGGGGAGGGGGGGAGGTGGGTGCTGCAGGGGACAGACCCCTCAGAAGAGATGAGGGTCAGAGACACCCCACCCGGGGCCGGGTTCTGGGCGGCAGTACCTGATTCGAGGCCCACGCCTGCTTGTCGGTCCAGTCCCTGTGGCTCCGCACGTACCACCACTGGATCTCCAGCGAGTAGGAGGGGGAGCCGCTGCCCCGGAAGGAGCAGGCCATCTCCACGTCCTCGCCCGTCCGCGCCGTCATGTCGTGGGGCGTCTCTGTGAACAGGGCTGTGCGGAGAAACAGGGGAGGAGTAGCCGGGGCTCAGGAAACCGGGCTGCAGGCACAGCGCTGGTGGCTGGGAGAGGTGGAGAGGTGGGAGCCGCCAGGCCTGCGGGTGGGGCCCCTGGAGAGTCAGCGAGGGGTGTGCAGCAGCAGCTGGCTAGACGGGGGAGGAAGGAGTTGGCCCAGGGCCCCGAATGCCCCACTGGAGCCTGGCTTCTGTCCCAGAGCGCGCGGCACCACCAGAGACCCATGCAGGGAGCAATGGGTCGGAGGAGGCGGGGTTGCAAGGTGTGAGCAAGGAGGCCAGGAGGCCAGGAAGGAAGCTGCCCGTCTCATCAATTCTTCCAGATTTCTCCAGGCGCCTGCACCCCAGGCCCCTCCCAGGTTATTCCCAACCCCAATGCTCAGTGTAGGGTCACCCAGGAATGTTGCCTCTGTCGCCCCCCCCCCCCCCCGCCCCCATCTTGCTGCTGCAGCCCTCGAGGCCCCACCCAGCAGGGCAGAAACACAGGTGGAAGGAAGGCTGTGGGGCTAGAGGGGGTCTGTTTTATTCTGAGTGCAAGGCCTGGGCGGGCACAGAGGACACATGTGACCCAGCCTGAGGCCATCGGGGAGGCTTCCTAGAGGAGGTGTTGCCCAGACAGTCCTGAGTCAGGAGTGGACACAGGGTGGCTTTTGGTCAGAAGACGGAGAGAGAGCCTGGCTCCAAGAACTCATGGGGCCACGTGAGTTGGCTGTGGGCGTGGGCTCTGGTCCCAGATTCTCTCTGATCCCCTCGGACCCTCCTAGGAACTGCCTAGGTGGGGTGGGGTGGGGAAGGGCCCCTCAGGATCCATTGGCTCCAACCTTATCGGTGAAGGGGGCAGTATGTCTTCAGGACAAGTGGGGAAACTGAGGCTCTGGGCATTGGATGGCATATCTGAGTTTCCCTGTTTAACGGTGGCAACATGAAGGCCTGTTCCAGGAGGCGCCGCCCCAAGGACCCACCACCGGGGGACCCTTCACTCAGGGAGAAGCTGTGCATTTGAGACGGCACCCCGGGTGCAGGATTGGGAGCCAGGAACAGAGAGCTAAGCCTGTTTTTGCCAAAGACTTGCCTGTGTAACTTTGGGAGAATCTTTCCTCCTCTCTGAACCTCAGTTTGCTGCTCTGTACAATGGGGATTAGAATTCATGGTTGGAGAACCCCACCAGCTCAGACAATCTGAGGGATGGGTCACTGCTACTGGGGGAAGGGAAGCTTGAGGGAGGAGGAGGTGGCATGTCAGCTGGGCCCTGAAGGACGGGTGGCAGAGGCAAGAAGAAAGGGAGTGTTGTGAGCCAAGGCAATAAGAAGGGAAAGCCAGAGAGCCTTAAAAAAAAAAGCACAACATTCATTGAGCATCTTAGCACCAGGCAGACACTGTCTCTAATCCACTCACTCCCATTCGACAGATGAGGAAAACGAGGCTCAGAAAGATGACGGGACTTGCCCAAGATTCACAGAACTGGGTTTTGAACTTACATCTGACCAGCAGTTGTGACCAAGACCCAGGGGTTCATCAGCCTCAGAATCTGGTTCGAATTATCAGGTGAAATTCAGCCGCCAGGCTCCACACTACGGCATCCGCTTCCTAACTCTGACAAGGGCAGCCAGTTCCTCCCACCTCCCCCGAAAGTGGCAGCGCTCACTGGCGAGAGGTTCTTGCTCCCTCTCCTAACTCTGTGAGTGAAAACCTCCTATCGGCACCAGAAACTGGTAGGTGACCCGCCCTGATTCTGATGATGATGATGCAATAACAAACTCTAATACATACAGAGTCCTTGGTTTGTGGCAGGCACTGAGCCAAACCCTTTACACCAGTGGTTCTCAACCTTCCTAATGCCGCGACCCTTTAATACAGTTCCTCATGTTGTGGTGACCCCCAATTTCATTGTTACAAATTGAACATAATTAAAGCATAGTGATTAATCACAAAACAATATGTAATTATAGATCTGTTTTCTGATGGTCTTAGGTGACCCCTGTGAAAGGGTCGTTTGACCCCCAAAGGGGTCGCGACCCACAGGTTGAGAACCTCTGCTTTACACTCATTTCTCATGTTCCCACCGCCATGCTAAGGAGCAGGTGTGATCACTATGATGCCCATTTCCAGGTGGGAAGACTGAGGCTCAGAGAGGTTAAGAGTGAGTAGGTAGTTACATTTGCACCCAGTTCTAGAGGGCTCTGGAGTGGAAGGCGATAATTTCTAGAACTTGCTCCTGCAGCTCCTCTTCCCGATCCCCCACCCCCACCTCCTCCCTCCAGCCACCCAGACCCCCAATCTCCACATTAGCATCCCTGCTGAGTTTAGGACATAAAATCCATGTCTCCTCTTTGACTTCCTCCTGTCCCTGAGCCCTCCTCCCTGCCAGGTAACTCCTCACAGCCAGCCCCTGGGGAGGCGGGTATAATTATAGATTTTTGAGGACACAATTGTGTTCTCCAGCCCCAGGGCCCCAGCAGGGCTGGGCTTGCTGGGAAGACAATTAAAACCACTGTCCGCAAATTAGGGTTCTGCAGGAAAAGGAGGAGGAGGCTTGATTGTATGCAACATCTTCCTTTCTGCTTTTAATTGGGGGGGGGGGGGGTACTTAATACCGCCAGACCAGTTATCAGGGCATCACCTGCAGGAAAGAGCTTGTGGCCCTAGCGCAGCCCCTCAGTTTACCCGCCCTTCAAGAGCAGGGGCCTGACCTTCTTCCAAACCTTCCAGACCCTGGAATACCTAGGGCTTTGCCTTCAGGTCTGGGTTCAAATCCTGTTTCCTCTACCCTCTAGCTGTGTGACCGGACAAGCCTGTCTACCTCCCTGAGCCTCGGATTCTTTATCTCATAAAGTAGAGAATGAGGGGGATGCAGGGGAGGATTACACAAGGCAACATATGCCTCATGCACACAGTAGGTGCTCAAGAAACAGCACTGCTTTCTCTCACCTTCTAGCTCAAAATTCTCTCCCAAGAAAGATTTTAAAGATGCTTCTTTATAGCCTCATTAGATTATGCAGTGGACACAACATCTGTATTTCATTCACACCCGGCCCCCCGACTTCTCATCATCAGTCTTGTATCTCCTCTGCTTCCTCATTTCTCCCCCAAGCAACCAGTAGGCCCCAAAAAGGGGTTTGTCCAACAAAGGCAGTCCCAGCCCAGGCCCCAGCTCCCTCTGTCTCTGAGTTCAGATTCCCCATCCCAGACCCTCTGGTTCAGTCTCAAGTCTCCTTTCCCTCTGCACAGTCTTCCCTGCTGTTCCATTCTTCAAAGTTCTGGTTTGAGGCTGCTTCCTCCAGGAAGCCTGCAGGAATTAGACCCCAGCCCACCCATCAATCTCTGCCAGAGTGAGAGCAGGGGGACTGGTGGTGGGGGCAGCACCTGGGCAGGGGAACCCAGGCGGAGCTGGAGCGTGAGAGAAGCAAAGGAAGAGAGCGGAGAGAACCAGCGTGGGTGGCCCTGCGGGCCCTTGGTTACCTCCCTGACCAGGCCCTCCTTGGTGTCCCCCGCGTCTCCGAGTCCTCCCCTCCCTGCCCCACTAGAATGCGTTAGAGGAAGATAATGAGTGCCTGTGTCTCCCCCAGCCTGAGAGCTTCCCCAGGACAGGGCCCTGCATTGTCCAGCATGGAGCAGGCACGAGGAGGTGCTATTAGGTATTTGTTGAATACGTAAAGAAATAGCCCGGCTGCATGGCTCAGTGGTTGAGCGTCGACCCCTGAACCAGGAGGTCATGGTTCGATTCCTGGTCAGGGCACATGCCGGGTTGTAGGCTCAATCCCCAGTGTGGGTCGTGCAGGAGGCTGCCGATCAATGATTCTCTCTCATCATTGATGTTTCTATCTCTCTCTCTCCCTTTCTCTCTGAAATAAATAATAAAAAAATATATTTTAAAAAGAAAGAAAGTGAGAAAGGTCAGGCAGAAACCCAGAGAACTTAAGTTAGAGACTGTAAGAGAAAGAAAACAAAAAAGATAGACATCATTCATTCATACAGTCGTTCATTCATGCAACATTTATTGGGCACCTACTATTTGCCAGACTAGTTTTCGGGGAGACTGCACTCAGAAGAGGAGGGATGGGGACAGACACATGGGCACAGGCAGCCTGATCAGGCCCCAGCAGGACAGCCCCTCCTCAGCCTCCCTCCTTGTGGCCCTCACGACCATTGGTGCCCAAGCCGAGGGGGTGCCCAGCCAAACGGATCGGCAAGCTGGCAGCTCCCTTGAGGGCCCATAAAGTCGTCATGTGAAGTGCAACCAAGAATGCAATGGGAATGAACAAATGCTGTCCGTGCAGGAAGGGCCGGGGCTGCTTTGCTGGCAGCTCCCCACCCTGACCAACCTTGAGGTCCAGGACCAGCCCCATCAACCCTGTGGGTCATCCTTCTGAGCAGAGGCCCACAAGCCAGAAAGTTGATGTGTCTGATCCCACAAAACCCTCGCAGCAACCCGCCGAGAAGGGATCACTGTCCCTTTACTCCAGGAGGAGAAACGGAGACTCAGAGAACCGGGGGCCAGCGTGGCCAGTCCCCTACCCCCATGCTGGCGGAAGGAAACCCGCCTCTGTGCCAGACACGGTACACGGGACCCACTTCATCCTCCCAAGGACCTTAGGAGGTGGCTCTATTTTAAAAACGTGTTTTATTTCCTTTTTAAGAGAAAGAAAGGGAGAGGGAGGGGGAGAGAGAGACATCAATGTGAGAGGAAAACAGCGATCCATTGCCTCCTTCCCGCACCCCGAACAGGATCTGAACCGAAACCTGGGTGTGTGGCCTGACCGGGAATGGAGCCGGCGGCCTTTTCAGAGCACGCACGTCAGAGCACACGTGAGACGACACTCAACCAACTGAGCCACACCGGCCAGGGCCAGTGGTTCCATTTATTGTCAGCCCCACTTCCCAGGAGGGCCACGGCTCAGCGAGGATGTGTTGGTGCCTGACGTCACGCAGCACGAAGGAACAAAGCCAGATTTCAACCCCACCGTGGACCACAAAGTTTCC